TGTGCAGTCAATTGCACCCAAGCACTGCGGCATTCCGTGTGTCCTATAAAAGTTGGCGACCAGTTCATTAACTTTGGCCTCTGTTTTCGGTGCCTTGATGTATTCGGGGCCCAGGGTGGTGGTAATAGCTTTACATACTTGTCGAATGATGATTGAAACGACCTGTCTGGACAGTCCAAATGCATTTGCAGTTTGTCTGATCCTTCCCTCGTCACTCAGATAATACAAGGTACACGCAACCTTTGTGAGTACATCCACTGGTGCCCGCAATCTCGTCGTCTGTCCTTCCACAAACGGACGAAGTTTTTCGCTGAGGTGGATCATGCCCGACCTAGACATCCGAAAGTTCTTATGCCAATCCTCGGGAACAACTACTTCACTTACAAACATGTCCCACCATGCACTGGTTCTTCCCGGTGTAATCCAAAATCGGCGTTCTAAATAGGGCTTACGTCGCTTGAAACGCGAGCAATTAGCGAGAGCTCGAACGATAGCTTGTCTCTTGCGAATATATGCATCTGCTGTAGCAAAAAATGCAGAGTTTAACTGCACAATGGCGCCTAAAACAGACAATAATGCAAACAACGCTCCAATTTCCGTGTCCATGTTGTTGTTTACAGTGAAGGCTGGTCAGCTGTCTTCATGTGTTATAGTCATGTGAGGGGGGCTTGACGAATAAGGGAAGGATACGCAATGGCACTAAAGCCCCAATCAGGTAGCGAATCTCAGCAGCCCCGCCTCCGTTTTCAGATGTCTCCGTTTTCCATCATCCACACTGAGACGGAGCAGCTGCATTTCAGAATGAAAACGGCCTCTCCAACGTTTTCGAAACGCTCCGTTTTCGGCGCTCGAGAACTCCGGCGTAGTGTGGACGGATGGCGTAACCGTAGCAAAACTTATGCGTTTTCAAACTAAAACGCACTAGTGTAAACGGGGCCTGCATCTCTCCTCAGACACGTCGCGCGCACCCTGTCAATCACCACCAAACTACCACCTCTCCTGACAGCTGAGCGGGACACTGCAAAATATACCCTGACACTCTGACCAATGTGAGGAGAGTTTACTCGCTTGTGACTTGTTTTAGCTCTTTTGGTCCGATTAGAAACTTTGCATTGTGAAAGCAAACCGCTCTAAGAGCAAAGAGCAACAATGTAACATTTGTAATCTCTGTTTCGGAACAACTAAATCGATCCACAGGTGTGAAAGCACCCTTAAAGTGTAGCTCATTTATTTTAGGAATGTCTATTTGTTCAATCTTTTTGGATTAAAGTGCTTTTTTGAAAATGCTTTCATTATCCAAAATAATCTTCATCATTGTTTAAGACTTAATTAAAACACCTTGTTTTGGGTTTTACACTAATATATATTGGAAAGTTTAATAGCCAAAAATGTAGATAAATGTAAAGCCCTTTAGCATATTCAAACAAGAAGTATTAGCCTAGAGGGATGTTTAAACTCCTAAAATGTGTGCTTATTGCCTTGTATTTAATAGGCCTGTTCATTTGTATGTTTATATTACGCTCTCGCTTCCCCTTTTTGATAATTATTTATAATTATTGTTAAAAAATGAACTATAGTTTGTAGAGACTGTATTCTGTTTTATTTGTACTGTAAATCTTTTGTTGTTATAAATAAATAAATGATTGACGGCTTCGTTATCAACTTCGCCCCCGCCTGCGCTCGCTAATCTCGTTGATCACCGGCTGCAGCTGAGGTTCATGTCGATTGCATCTATAATAAGTCCTATATATAATGAGTCCTAGTAATACCACATCACGGGGGTGATTTGTAATCGCACTGGCACTGATAATATTTTAAATGGGCTGTGAAAAAATGTGTATGTTGGAATATAGTTTTTATGAATTACAGTGCGAGTTAACTATTTTGCAGTATGTTGTGTATTTTGTAAGATTGTTTAATTGTTATGTTTATGTAATTTGTTGGGACTACAATAATGGTATGTTCCAGGAAGAGGTGGGGCCTAGACTTTAAAATGGCTGACCCTGAAGCAGTTGCATGTGGGAGTAGTATGAAATAGTGGGAGTGTTAGCATGTCTGAATGTAAAGCTTTTTTGTTGTTGGGTTTTTTTCACCACAACTTGAGTGGAAAGTGTATTTTGTTTGTTTTATTTGAGAAAATGTAAAGCAATATATAAACAAGCTGAATAAGACTTATTCATGCACATTTCAATAACCGTTAAGGATAAAATGCTCAGAAAAGCCATGGGCTTTTTTACACTAGGTTGCTATATTAAAAGAAATGCAGAAAAAACTAAAATTTGAATGCAAACTACATCAGCTCAGCTACTCACTATATAAAAAAAATCTGTCAATAAAAAAAACTATAAATAAATTTTTTTATTTTTTTTTTAAATACTTTCCACTTGAATCTCTTTAATACTCCTAAGTAATTAATAAAGAGCAGGGGCCATACCGTATGCATAAAACTTCTTAAAAATGCTCCTAAGAGTAGTCTTAAACTTTGACTTAAGTATCAAAAAATTCTCAGTAAGAAGTAGGACTTTTTTTTTTTTTCATAAGTATGAGAGATTTATAAAGAATCTAAAAGCCACTTTCAGTAGAGTTTGAGACTGATTCTTAAGTTCTGACTTGAGTGTTGTAAATCAAGGACTACAGTGATTACAACAAAATGGCTGTCCTTGACCTCTGAATCAGTCTATCAGGAGCCTGCAAGAATGAAGTCAAAGCAGCATGACACCATTCACTGATGAATTAACACAAAATTATTCAACATACTAAAATATCATTAAGAAGCAGTTTTGTGTTATGTGAAAAGAAAATACAAACAAATACAAGCATTTTACATAATCGTACACAAATTGATTGATTGCATGGACAAATGTGATGCTTCTTTAGTTACTAAGCTGCTAAGTCACATAATTGTAAATTGCACTCTTAGCTGTATATAAAAGAAAAACCAAAGTTTAAAGCCCTTAAAATATGGATTCAAAAAGAAAACCAAACTGGACCAAGTAGAAAAGTGTTCTAGATGACATCCAGGGGGAACATAATTTTGTTCAAATAACCCAGTGATGCTAAAAGAACCAGAGCATCACGTGTTGACCCAAGCCATTTTGGTACAAGATCCAGAATCTTGTAATTGGCATAAAACACAACTTGAAGATTGAATCTGTGAAATACCTTCCCGCTTCTAACTGAACAGCGCATCATCGATAATGTAAACGTGCTTCGGCGCGAATGCAATGTGAGTGCAGGCACACGGGGAAGCTGAGAGTGGGGACAAGGGTGGTTCGGCCCGGTTCAAGGCAACTGGACATATTGTGAGTACACCATAAGTCTTTGTTGATGCACTGCTGCATCTTTCCAGTCACCAAAAAATGCAGAGTCATTATTACTTTCATTTTTGCAGTAATCTTAAGTCTAGAAATAAAGATAAATTTAAGTCATTATTAAAATTGACACACTTAAGAGTAAAATTCTACTCTGAGAAACTTTATACATACGGCCCCAGATCTACCAAAAAGCTGCAATAAAGTCTACTATAAAAATATATTTAAAGTGTAATGCTTATCAAAGGTATCATTTAAATGCGTTTGTCAATATAAACTGAATTGCATTTTTCTTATGTGACACTTAAGTACACCTAAAATAATGCACAATTACTACAACTTAAAAGTGCATTAAATTACATTTTTTTATAAGCACACTTAAATCCTTTTGATGAAGAGCTCTTTTATTATCTTTTAACAACATCAATTTACAAACTTAAATGTGGAATAATACATTTGTATTTTTAAAAGAAAAGAACTATTAATTAACCAAGGTTTACTGTTATTCCATTTACTTTTGTGTATATGATATTTACCTATAATAATAATAATAATAATAATAATAATAATGTTAACATCAATTAGCTTTTTTGTGAAAACCACATGTTTAAAACAACCTGCTGGATATGTATTATTGATTATCCTAAACTGCATGTCTTCATTTTTCATAAAATTGGCCATTTAAGATACTGGCTATTTTTTTTTAAAGATTTAATTTTCAAACGATTTCCATTTTAATGATTTATTGAAGTTGAAAAATAATTAACTTAAAAAAAAAAACATATACATACATATATATATATATATATATATATATATATATATATATATATATATATATATATATATATAAATAAATGTTGCTGATTTGGGTCTGTTGGCGTTGGGGTTTATATGAGTGAGGTTTACATGTTCTCCCTGTTTACTTTCTATTTCCTCCGGGTGCTCCTGTTTCCCCCCACAGTCCAACCATGCGCTATAGGTGAATTGAATAAACTAAATTGGCCATAGTGTATGTGCGTGTGTATGTAAGAATGTATGGGTGGTTTCCAGTACTGGGTTGCAGCTGGAAGGGCATCCACTGTGTGAAACATATGCTGAATAAGTTGGCAGTTCATTCTGTGGTGGTGACCCCTGATAAATAAACTCAAAAGAAAGTTTAAAGATAAATTAATGAATTTGACCATTTTCATTTAATAGCACTATGTAACCTTTTGTCATACCATGCTTATTTAAATACTGATTTTCTATTTATAGTAATGGATAGGTTGTTCCACAACCAACATAGGCTCTTCATAAAATGTAGCCCTATATACATTTATGGACATCATGAATTATGTAGCCAGATGTACGTATGGCTGCGTTTCATCTTTTAAACGAACGCTATGAGGCAATATGACGCCGTTCTGACGTTTAGAGCAAGCAGCAGACCACTTCACTCCATATGGATGACTTTTCTGCTGTTAACAGGTTGTCCAGGTAACCAGCAGCATACGTCGGTTTAGACACATAAAGGAGTTGACTGCGACAACATGGTTTGAGTATGGCGAAGAACTGTTCCAGAAAGTTTGATAGAAATAGATGCAATAAAACACATCAAATATCATATCAAAAAGCAACACTAAAAGAATTGCTTGTTGCTAACATTATTAGAATTAAATTGTTGGTATGTGTGTGTGTGTGTGTGTGTGTGTGTGTGTGTGTGTGTGTGTGTGTGTGTATTGATGTATTCGTGTGTGACTGCCAGCCCACGCCGGAGATCCAACTATGAACTTTTTAGCTGCAGCAACTTATCTTCGCTAGAGCTTTAACTAAAATATTTCAGGAAAAATCTGTAGGTTGCAAAAGTTTGAGGTGTTGGAAATAAAGGACTAAATGACATATGTTGTTTTACATCCAGTCCACTTTCAGCTCTTTTCTAGCTCCTCATTGTCTCCAATGTCTCTGGTTGCCATGAAGAGAATGACATCTCTATCATTTTTGCTGGAGTGTTGAATGCATCATCCATAAACTAAGGACAGAGGCTGGCAGTGGAAATGGTCATTGTGCATTTAATGCGCAAGGATTTATTCCCGCTGTTTCCAGCGTTGATTCAAAACCATCCTCTGCACAAGCTGCTGTCCATTACCTGGTGCAGACACTAAACAGGCTTCCATTGCTTCATAATAACTGAAGTCTTTGGGACATTTGATGTCCATCTCTGCTTCCTGATCCAGGCATCTATTTTGTCCTCAGAGGGTCAGCGGCCAACAAAGTGTTCTGGGAAAAAACAAAACATAAATCATTTTTGGATTCCTGTTTGTAAAGATTTCACCATTTGTGTGATTTTTAACTGGTGTATACTAACCAAGGGCATGCTGTTGTTCACACAGCTCCTGCCTGCCTGTCCTTTACAGAGCAGGCACCTCAAGGGTCACTGGATAGGACTCTGCCCAACTGCTGTAGGCCGTCAGCTCATCTCTCAGCTGGCAGGTGCACTAGATGGTTGTAAGATCACAAAAAAATATTGAAGAAAGGGCGAAATAATCACTGCTGTGACATGCAGAATTAAGAATAAGAATCATCGGAGTCATTAGATGTGTACTGTGTTTTACCAGCAACCTGGTCAACAACCTTAGAAGCCAGAAATGCATCTCCAGGAGTTCTCATTCTGTAGTGCTTTACCAGTGACTCTGGTGTGTGCCATGACAGCCGCGCCACCACTTTTCGCTTCTGGAAGCTTCTTCACTGACATCTCAAACTCCCTCAGAGCATCACCACAGATCACACTGAGGAGATAAATAGAACGCAGGGCATCATGAGAATGCGATAAGTGGACATACAAAAATGTCAAGAGAAATATAGGTGTACTGTCACCTGTATTGAAACCTTTTTAAAATCATTTGGTAGTTTATAAATTAGGCTCCTGGTGCTCAACACAAAAAATGAGCTGGCTGACACATCACTGGCCACACCTCACTGAAGTGCAAGAGAAACCAAAGAACAAGTAAATTTCCATTATATTTAACTTGCTATTATGGCTTTATGATTTCAATTCCTATTTAAACTTACAAGTTTCATTATATCCTACAGTTGCACTTCTGCTATTTGTGATGCAGTTGTTTTGTGCTTCTTCTCAGCAATAGAAACACCGGCCTCGTTGTGAATTATGCCTTCCCATTCCTTAACCTGCAAAAAGAGAGTTTTGAGAGTTAAAACAGAGTAAAGAATATAATAAAAAATAAATAAAAATTGTAAAATAACAATAACTATAGTCCAATTCTGAACAACTATGCTAAGGTGTAACTAACACTTGTTCAAAAAATGTTAGTTTGCAAATTGAGTTATTCTTGAAAAGAGTGAGTAGTAAAGAGTTAAGACTTAGTCACCTTAGTGACAACTCCAGGCTGCTGCAGAAGCCTCAGAACGATGGCCCCTGGGTAGTAGAGGATAAGCAGCTGTTCATTCTTGGTTAGACTCTCCCCGGTGACAGCTCCAGGAGTTATCCTATGACTGAACTGAAGTCTTTAAGCGCAGCCTCAAAAACAGCAGGGCAGTCTTTAGGCAAGATTTCCTTGCCATAACTGTGAAGTCTGGGGAAAGTCAGACAATTTTTGTAATAAAATATAATAATAATAAAAAAACATATTTCAGTTTATTAGTTAGATATAAAATGCTGACCCTTTGTGTCTGTCTTCCTTGCTCACTTTTTATGACATTCTGCTCTGTATTCCATACAGTGTAAGAATCCACAATACCAGACCCTGAGAACTGTTATGGAATTTCATGAGACAAGATGCAATGCACCAATACACATCTAATCTGAGAAGTGATGAAGAAACCAGCTGTGCAACTCTTCTAACAGTTATTTTTTTCAAAAGCACTAGAAAAGGCTTACATGCATTAAACCTTCGACCATGCTGTTAGTTTCGTCTTTGGGCTAATAGATGGACTCTTACACTATCAATAGACAATCAGTATTCAATAGACTAGCCTACATCAATAGAAAAACCACTAACTTCATCCCTTCTTCATCTCGGGAGGTGTTTTCAGTTCATTCATAACAATTTGCTTTTGTATAATGTTATGATTATTAGCAGTATTATTTATTATATGCGTATTTATTTGTTTTAAGAACAAGCTAGCATGTGTATTAGGATATAACTCAGTTTTTTGACCACACTTCGTGATTTGTTCTTTTAACCGTTTGCTGGAAATTAGAACTGAATTTAGAAAGTTTTGAAACAAATCTTTGCGCTTAACAAACAAAATTAATTATTTATAGGCTAATTGATGTCTGTTTGTACAAGGTTGTCCTATTCAAAAGAGCGAAAGTGAAATTTAATAATTTCTCTCTCATTCTCGCACTTTAGATGCTGTTTAACTTTTTTTTTTGCTAGTGTAATGCTCAGTTTTTCCACTTACTCTTACTTTACGTCATGTAAATAGCAAATGCGCCATGACGCGACGCAACTGACTCTTAAAAGGAATGAGGTGAGACTCTGATCTGAACTCTGAGACTCTGAACACACCTATAACTCATTAAGAAAATAAGCTCAACCCTTTTAGACCATGTGGCATGGCGCAAAGCGAAATTTTCCGTCCTTATATTAGCAAAAGTGGATTGACACGCCCTGAATGCGTTTGCGCCCTGCGCATGGACTGTCAAAATAGAGCCCTGAGTCGACAGTGCAGTGGACACGTTCTAGTCAACGGATAACCGTTGACAATTAAAAACGCGGCCGGGACTGGTATTTTGACTGTAGCTATAAGTAGTCACTATTTAAAATGAAGACACTTGTTTTTTCCACACCAAGTCTCCAAAGATGTGCTAAAATATTCAAAGAAACTTAGGATCACACTTTCGGTTCTTTTCAGCTCAGGAATACGTAGGTCTCTTTCTGAAGTGGGTTCTCGCGTTACTGTCACATCGCTGTCATCAGAAGACAAAATATTAAGAAGAACACACGCATCACCACATTTGAGCAATAATTGTTTGTACAGAAACCAAATTGAGGATGCTTGATAATTTGCGGTTCATTCCGCTGTGGCAACCCCAGATTAATAAAGGGACTGAGCCGAACAGAAAATGAATGAATATATTTTAGTAAACTCACAATCTCTCTTTCTTTCAGTCACTGTCTGTTGGCTCACAATTGTACGTAGCTGTGGGCTATTTTCCTGGCTCCTCTCAGTAACATCAACAACATGGTCAGACTGTCCGTCCTGAAAAATATATAGAAGAGCACACGCATTTACACATTTGAGCAATCAATGTTTGTACAGGAACACAAAAAACGAGGATGCTTGATAAGTTGCCGGTTCATTCTGCTGTGGCGACCCTGGATAATAAAGGGACTGAGCCGAAAAGAAAATGAACAAATCAAGATATTTTATATATTTTATACATAAAAAAAACTTACACTTAATCTTCTTCTTTTGAGCTCTGACATATTTCCATCTTGTAAATGGGTGGCGTCTCGCATCTCTTTAGCATTATTGTAATCGGGAGCCTTTCCTTCCTGAAAAATTGAGAAGAACACGCGCATCTTCACATTTGAGCAATTAATTTTTGTACAGGAACAAAAACAAATATATTTTGAAGTAGGTTGAAAATCTGTCTTCCCCCTAATTTGCATGCCAAATGGCTACCAGGGCTTGTAACATTTTAAAACAGCACACATTATTCTTTTGCGGGCGACTCAGTGGCGCAGCACTGTTGCCTAACAGCAAGAAGGTCGCTGGGTCAGTTGCCGTTTCTGTGTGGAGTTTGCATGTTTTTCCCACGTTCGTGTGGGTTTCCTCCGTTTTCCCCCCACAGTCCTAACACAAGTGGTAAAGGTGAATTATGTAGACTGAAATTGTCTGTTTTGAATGATTGTGTATGGATGTTTGCCAGAGATGGTGTAAGGTCCGCCTGTTTGGTTCAACGACGGCAGCCAATCAGACGGCAGAAGGATTCTTGCGCGTCACTGTCTTCTTTTAAGCACAAATAGTATTGAGTTAAATACATATATAAATTTGATATGAGTATATCTTTCGTTTTATCTGACTCCAATAATAAAACATTGATAAAGTTATTTTGTTTCCTTTTACATTATTTTAGATTATGATTGAATATTCTTTTAATTTGTTATTATACCTTATTCTCATTTACTCAGATTCCTATAGCATCCAGAGTCTTGCACCGGCCGGGTATACAATCTCTTAATACAAGCTTGTCAGTCTTGGTCATTAAACAGAGGCGATTAACCACTCTCCTAAGAAGGCAGAACTCTACTTACTCAATTTAGAAGATTTTTATGTGGTCCCCATAGATCTGTTATCTACTTAATCAAGACAAAGTATTTTAATAATAATCGCACAGGATTATAAGTTTGTAGATGAAGGCCTAAATATCCACATTTAAATTAGTTTCAACAATATTTTGTTGTTCTAAATAGAAAACCCATAGTTGGCCTTTTGCAGTCTACGTATACATGAAATAATGCCAATTTGCTAGTCGGATCTCTAACAACATTGTTTAGCGTGCCACGCTGCTCCGTCAAACATGTTTTAGTCCGTTACTAACCTGTACAGTGGCTTGTAATGCTATGGACAACAACATTTATCAGTGATAATAACACGAGGACTATTTGAATAATTCAAAACATAACAATTTATTTATCAGGTAACCAGGATAATTCAAAATCAATTCAAGCAATCAAAACATTAATCAATTCATTATGTAACATCAATCAATCAAAATTACATTAGTGAAACGTTTAGCCAATTCAAAGTACATAAATGAAAGTTTAGAAGTTTACCTGAAGATGAAAAAGACTACACACAGCAATTGTGCGGGAGATCTGGATACAGATTCCCCGACTTCTCTGCCACCTTCCATTAAGTACCCGTCTTTGCACCTCAGGGTGTTTCTTTGATATTTACATTTGGCCATCTCTCTACAGGGCATTTTCATGGGAAGAAGTTTCGGTTGGGGTTTCTGTGGTATTACCATTTGTGTGTTTCTTTGTTCTTGGTGAGGGGATGTTTTGCTTGAGGGGCCTGATTATAATTTTATTACCGGACCGAGGGCAAATGTTTCAATATCTAAAGGGGTGAGACCTTCTTTATCAGACACGCTGGAACCTTCAATGCGTTAGGTAAACAGAGACAAAAGGGGAGAGGGTATAACAGGAGATACGTGTCCGGGGGAAGTTTCGCTCTCACACTGAGAGCGACAGATGTGAGCTCTTTGATGCTTATCAGGTAGCTGTTCTCATTAAAACACAGATGTCGTAAATAATCATTCCTGATACCAGCCTTACAGTTTTCCCCCTTTGGCCCCGTGGGCTATTTTATCCTGCGGGGTCATCAGAGTTCTTGAAGCTTTGGCACCTGTAATGGGCTGAGTGTCAGAGCAATGTTCGTTGATGTCCTTAACGATCTGATGAGACATCTGAAATAACAGCATTGGAACAGTGTGAACATAAAGATGAGTGCACTGCCAATGGCACAGCTCCGAAGTATCCAGTCCCACCATGTGTAGGCATTCAGTGCAGAGCGCGTAGACGAGCTGGACAGGATCGTTGCAGTCTTTCGGGCCAGGTTTGTCTCTACCTGTGCTTGGAAAAGATGATATTCAGTCTCTGAGATGGTTCTTTCCACCAGATTCATGGTGTCAACCAGTGTCCGTGTTCCTCGTTCGTAGAAAGTGTCGTCCCACCATGGGGAGACTTCTGCATCTATTGGCATCCTTCCAAGGATGTTGATTTGACCCATTGAAAAGTCCTCTGTGATTTCCAAACAGAATGAATGGTTGGCAGGACAGGCTAGTCCTCCATAGACCCAGGCTAGTCCTCCAAAAAACCCAAGGCATCCAACACATTCTTCTCCAGTATATATCATGACAGTAGCTAATAATTCAAAATATTTTACATTTTTCATTTTCTCTGATGAAAGCCACCTATCTAAATCTAAGATTTCAATCAAGTCACTTAAAACATGTCTAGGTGTTTTATGGAGACGGAGGTCCAGAATTTCTTGTCTGGTTGTAGCAAATAAATATTGTGCAAATGTTCTGCAGGCTAAGTCACGTTCGATGGTACGGGTCTGATTGAACAATGTGTGGCTGATCATTAGAAGCGCCTGCGCCTCAGATCTGATCGCTTTGATTAGGTTGTCATTACTATTGGTGATGTGTTGAAAACCAGCGGTCATCTGGTCTGTCAACCATGTGGAAAATTTAAATTGTTTAGAAATCTTGTATGTTTTAGTTAATGAATTAGCCGAACCAAATAGGCCTGCTATATTTCCGAGCAGGTCACGTTTTGAGCAAACAGGTGGAATTTGGACAGCAAGTCTGTTCTTATAATCAGAAATTAAATCATCGATTCGTGACTGTAGCCATGCATATGATTCATCATCAACATTACAATGCTTAGAGTAGGCAGACAGTATATTGGAAATATTGTATGTTATATGCGTCATTACCAAATTCACATCATGCAAAAGAGTCTTATTTACATTTCCCTTAATCAATCCGCCAGGTGGTGTTAGGTAAAGTTTTGGACATACTTGAGGTTTCGTATATCCACAGGTTGTTATATTGAAACAATATGTCGAAGTCAATGAGCAGTTTTGTGGATTTGTAAATTTTTCCATATCTGGGGAACATTTCCCCACACAGTATGTTCCTTCTTTTCTGTTTGTCCATATGAAAGTTTTCGGCTTTTGTTCAGTAGGTGTGTATAATGTGAGGTTGTAATTAGACTCAGTGAAATACATGTGTGTGTTGTTATGTGTTTCTGTGTGTGTACATCTATATGTTACTGGTTCTAAGTCTTTGATGTAATAACATAATTTTGGGTCCGTCCCATTGTTTTTGTTTTGATAGAGGGTGTTTACATTTACATTTAGTCATTTAGCAGACGCTTTTATCCAAAGCGACTTACAAATGAGGACAAGGAAGCAATTTACACAACCAAGAGCAACAATGAATAAGTGCTATAAGCAAGTTTCAGGTCTGTAAAGTCTAAGAAGGAAAGTATTAGTAGTATTAGTTTTTTTTTATTTTTTTATTTTTTTGTACAGTTAGTGTGATATTCAGAGAGGCAATTACAGATTATGATGATCTTTCATCCAGTGTGAAATATCCAACAGGCAGGCTGAAATGCGAGCTGGAACCGAGGGATCATCAGGATGAAAAGAGAGGTATAGCTGGGTATCATCAGCATAGCAGTGGTAGGAGAATCCATGTCTCTGGATGACTGGTCCTAGAGATGATGTGTAGATGGAGAAGAGAAGTGGCCCAAGAACAGAGCCTTGAGGTACCCCAGTGTTTAGATGCTGTAGGTTGGACACCTCACCCCTCCAAGACACCCTGAATGATCTGTCAGTGAGGTAAGATCTGAACCATTGTATAACAGTGCCCGCAACGCCCAGTGACTCGAGCGTAGATAGCAGGATCTGGTGGTTGACAGTGTCAAAAGCAGCTGACAAGTCCAGCAAAATGAGAACTGATGATTTAGAGTCTGCTTTAGCCAGTCTGAGATCCTCCACGACCGAGAGCAGGGCAGTCTCAGTTGAGTGGCCTTTCTTAAAGCCGGATTGCTTGTTGTCCATGAGATTGTTTTGAGTAAGAAAGTCCAGGACTTGATTGAACACTACTTTCTCCAGAATCTTGGCCATGAATGGAAGCAGGGATACTGGTCTGTAGTTTTCAAGTAGCGTATGGTCCAGGTTGGGTTTCTTTAGCAGTGGGGTTACACTAGCCTGCTTAAATGAAGTGGGGAATAAACCAGAGTCAAGAGATGTGTTAATTATGTGAGTCAGTGTTGGTATGACTGCAGGAGAGATGGCTTGCAAGAGATGAGAGGGAATGGGATCGAGTGGACAGGTGGTTGCATGGCTAGATAACACCAGTTTGGACACCTCAGACTCAGAGAGCTGAGAAAAAGAGGTGAGTGTGTGTGGTGTTGGTGGTGTACCTTGCATGTTTGTTGTAGGTGCAGCAAATTGAGCACTGATTTTTGCAGTTTTGGTGCAAAAGCATGTAGCAAAGTCATCAGTAGTAAGTGTGGAGAATGCGGGTGGAGGAGGAGGATTAGTGGCATTGTTGATTTTCAGATGGTAATATGTCTGCTTTGCCGAAGTAACCTCAGCTGAGAAAGAGGACAGAAGAGTTTGGTATGTTAAGAGCTGTGCAGGATTTTTTGTTTTCCGCCAAATTCTTTCTGCAGCTCGAAGTTTTGAGCGATGCTCACGGAGAGCATCCAAGAGCCAGGGTGCAGGAGGACTGGCACGGGCTGGCCTGGATGCAAGAGGACATAATTGGTCTAGACATGATGCTAGTGTGGAGCAGAGTGTATCAGTGGCACTGTTCGAATCAAGTGCAGAGAGTTTGCAAGATGGAGGAAGAGAGTCTGAAACAATGGTGGATAGTCTATTGGGTGAGAGAGATCGTAGGTTTCTGCGAAAGGTAACCAGTGTTGGAGTGTGTGGCGGCTCAGTAGTAATGTGGATGTTGAGAGAAAGAAGGAAATGATCAGATATTTGTAGTGGAGTTACTATTGTTTGATCAGCGAAGCAGTGTCGTGTGTAAATAAGGTCAAGCTGATTACCTGATTTGTGGGTAGCAGAGGTAGGTGCTCTTTTTAGGTCAAAAGAGGCAAGCAGAGTCTGAAAGTCTGCAGCTTGCGGTTTGTCAACGTAAATGTTGAAGTCACCTAGCACCAACAAGGGAGAGTCAATATTAGAAAAAGATGAGAGAAGAACATCCAGTTCATCTAAGAAGTGACCTAATTTACCTGGTGGGCGGTAGATGACAACCACATTTATGTAGAAGGGGTGGATAATGGTGACTGCGTGGAATTCAAAGGAGCTGATTGTTGGCAGGGACGGTATCAGAGTAAATTTCCATTCTTTGGAAATTAGTAGTCCAGTCCCACCCCCTCTCCCTGTGTGACGAGGAGTGTGGGGAAAAAGAGAAATTAGCAGAAAGAGTAGCATGTGTAGCAGGTCTCAGTTAGAGCCATGAGATTATAGTCAGAATATGTAGCTATGGAGGTAATAAAATCTGCCTTGTTAACAGCTGATTGACAGTTCCAGAGGCCCACGGAGAGAGAGAGTTGTGAAATAGCAGATACATGTATTGAACGAAGGTTGTGAGGATTACGCCTGCAGCGTACCTCCCGTGTTTTGCGAGTGTTAGTAACAACAGGAATTAGAAAACACATAATAAAAGTGCACTGACAACAAAAGATAACGTAAAAAAAAAAAAAGAAAAAAGAAAGTAAAGTACTCAAGTGCTTTGTCGGTGTCTTTGCTCGGTGGAGTCGCGCAGGTAGAGTTGATGGTCTTTACACTCGTCGGTCTTCACACAAGGGTGCCGCGACCGCTGCCGCGGTGAACTAGTTGTTTATATAACCCCAAAGCACTAGCGTTAGCTGATTGAATTCAGCTGGACACGCCTCGAGAGTCAAAACAAGGGCCGAAACTGAGGCGGACGACGCGAAACCGACCGCGTTCGCTACACAAGCTCTTATAGTAACCAAGGAAACAGTGGCTAAACACTTGTAGTATTATACACAACTGAAAGCAAGTTTAAATGTCCTACAACTTTACACAAACAGCTGAAAACAAGTCCTCAAACCATACACAACAACTGAAACAAGTCTTAAATGTACTTACAGGCTGCTGGTCTCGATGTTAAAGTGCTTCTCCTGCCGACTAAGCTAGCGTGCTTACTATATAGTGGTTACCTGGCGTTTGGACACGCCTCCCGAGTCAAAACAAGGGCCGAAACTGAGGCGGACGACGCGAAACCGACCGCGTTCGCTACACAAGCTCTTATAGTAACCAAGGAAACAGTGGCTAAACACTTGTAGTATTATACACAACTGAAAGCAAGTTTAAATGTCCTACAACTTTACACAAACAGCTGAAAACAAGTCCTCAAACCATACACAACAACTGAAACAATTCTTAAATGTACTTACAGGCTGCTGGTCTCGATGTTAAAGTGCTTCTTCATTTTCCCGATTATGGCACCTGGATCTATTTTAAGTTGATACCAGGCTGTGACATTGTGTAAAAATTTGGGTGCTTGTGTGTGACCTGAAATGCTTTCTGTTGGTGGGTGGGTGCTACCTAAACCACAACAAATTTTTGGTGTGCAAATTTGGTCCGGAGCTAAGCCGGGAGGCCATGTAATTACATCTTTTGGTGTGATTGTGATGTTTGGTGTGGATGGCCCCTTGGAAAATTTCCACACCCACCTTCCACATTTCAGGTTGTGTGTGAGTGAAACCCGTTGACCCAGTCTGATGCATGTTGGTCCAGACACCTTTCTCTCATCCGGCCTCCACGGTAATGCTGCAGTCAACCTAGAAGGCGAGAAGGGAAATAGGTTATTCACTGTTTCTGGGTACCTTTAAATAATTTGCACTGTGACATGTGATACCATCGTAGTTTTCCTTTTATTGAGGTGGCAACACAGCTGTTGCACACAGCCTTAATCTCATATGGCCCATGCCATCTGGGTGTGAAAGCACCTTGTTTCACAAATACTCGCATCATTACCATGTCTCCTTCTGAAAATTTTATTTTAGTGTTTGGGTTGAATTGTGCATCATTATTTAAATCTGATTGCTGTTGTTTCAGTGTGGTTTGTGCATAAAGCACTTCCAATCTTTCTTGCAACTGTTTTAGCTCAGATTGTTTAGTTGCAACCATGAGAGGTCCCATGTCTGTTGGAGCAATCTCTGGATCAATGGGTATTTTCATGACTCTCCCAGTCATGATTTCAAATGGGCTGATGCCTGTGGCTTTTGAGGGTGTTGCCCGCAGTACTGTCAGGACAGTGGGCAATGCATCAATCCATTTGTTGTCGTGTTGTGAAATTTGTTTTGAGATGTTTTCTTTTATGGTACGATTTACACGTTCCACCATTCCCGAGCTTTGTGGTCTGTATGGAACATGAAATCTTTGTTTTATGTTTAACATTTTGCATATGGATTTCATTATCTGACCAGTGAAGTGGGTTCCTTGATCAGATTCAATTTGAATTGGGGCTCCCCACAGAGGAAGAATTTGGTTCGCTAACACTCATGCCACTGTGTTTGCACTGTTGTTGCGTGTGGGGATCACTTCTACCTATTTTGAGAATTTGTCAATTATTACTAAGCAATAACGATATCCCCCTTTGGCACTAGGTAGTGGGCCAATGAAATCCAACTGCAAAAATTCCCAGGGCCCTTTGGGTGGTTCTGGTCTGCATAATTTTGTGCGCCCTGATCTGCCTTGGTTAATGGTGGCACATACTATGCATGTATCGCACCATCTTTAAATATCTGATGTCATTTCTGGCCACCAGAAATTTTTTTGAATCAGCTGCTGTGTTTTGGGAGCTGATACATGTGCATACTCGTGGTATAGTTTTATCACTGGTTTTTTTTAGAGCATCTGGAACGATGTACTTCCCGTCTCTCAAAATCATCCCTTCTGTGACATTTACTAATTGATCCTGTTGGAGATGTGGAACGAGTTCCCCTTCTGTGAGCCATAGTTCTTGCTGATACTGCTTTAAATCG